TTTTCCCACTCTATAAGTAGCTCAATAAAAATGGCTTAGGTTCTTCCCTCCCTACCAAATGATAGACTATTGACGACCCAGCATTGTAGACACAGTACAGACAGCTGGGACTACTCTTGATCAAGATTATTTCTGTTCCACCTTTAGTCACACAGAGGTAAGATGGCTTGACATTCAAAGTTTTAATTCTAGGACTTAACTCATAGTTTAAAATAGAGGTTCCCAACTTCTCTATGTGGTGAGCCTGGGTTTAGAAAAGAAGTGACAAGTTCTGTTAAGGCCCAGGATACCACAGACTTGAGAAAGGATTATAATCAGATTTCAGTGGTCATTTGAAACCTAACATCAAATTATATACAAACTACTGTTGTACATATATTTTAAAACAGACGAATTGAAGGATTAAAAATGCAGTTGTGATATTTTGTAATATAGAACAAGATAATTTACATTTGTCTTAGGAAATGGATATTTTATCTGTCATCATAGATCAGATTTAATGCATAAATACAGTACTCTCAAATAACAGTTGAATTCTTAAAATATGTTGATTAATTCAATTTTTTAAATATTCTAATTTAAGCCGGGCAATGGTGGCACATACCATTAATATCAGCACTTGGGAAGCAGAGGCTGGCAGATCTTGAGGCCAGCCTGTTGTACAAGAGCTAGTTCCAGGAGTGTCACACAATGAAACTATCTTGAAACAACAACAAAAAGAAAACAAAAATAAAACAAAACAGAATACCATTTTATATGAAGAATAAAGGTTGTATTTAGGTCCATTGAGGTGGCTTAGTGGGTGAAAATGCTTGCCACCTATCCTGACAGCCCTTGTTTGTTTCCTGTAACTAACACAGAAGGAAAGAGCTGAATCCTGTAAGCTGTTCTCTGACACACACACACAGACACACAGACAGACACACATGCATATACAATACACACAACTTTGCATATACAATAAATAAGTACATAAGTATTAGATAATATTTTAAATTATATATAAATATTTACATTCTAAAGGATATGTCATTATGAATAAGAAGCATCTACTGATAATGTCTATTCCTTCTTGATAGTTGTGTGAAACTACATATGACAGTTTAATTACACTGGTAAGATTGCATATTTGAAACCAAATAAATAAATTGATGGAATCATTTTACTGAATAGGATGCCCTTGTGACCCAATGTTCATAAACAGACCTTCTGAATCAATTTATAGATATGACATAGAAATAATCACTTGGCTGCAGAAATAGGTAAAGTAAATAAAGGTTAGTTTTTTTCAGTTTCCTCTGTATCATTGTATTTTCTTATTCTAAACCTGTAAATCTGCCCTGTTAACCTACAGTTTTGATTTAATGCTACACAAAATAATTTTTTAAAAAATAAAAGTGGATAAATAAGTATGGCGTGTGACTTAGACAAAAGATTATCTTTAAAGTGCTAGAAAGTGAATTTCTTTAATTTCACTTTTAATCATTGCTTTTGTTTCTCCATGGTTGTCATAGGTGAATTATCTGCTCACACACAGAAAGCTGTAGTGGTTGTCCAAAAGTATACACTGAGCTCTAACAGATTTCAGAAGCATAATTTGCACATCACCAAATTCATTCATCTTAAGTGTAAATTCAATCATATTTTAACATAAATACTGAGCTTTCTAGCAAACACCACAATCTACTTTTAGAATATTTCCATCTTTGTTCCCCTCTCTCAGACAAGGCAGCCACTAATCTGCTTTCTGTCCCTTCCCTGGAGATTGCCCAGAAACAGACTCATGAGAACTCATCCATCGACACTTCTTTCATTCTGCTTGTTTCAGTTTACACTTGTAACAGCAGTCAGTAATTGATTCCTCTTCTTGTTTCATCTGTTTCCTCCCTCTGTCTGTTCTTCCCACCAATTCTCCTCTCTCCTTCCTTCCTGAATGGCACTTTTATTCATACTACTATACTTGTGCTATTATACATAGTACTTCAGAGTGGGTAATTTGCAAGATTTTTATATCTTGGTTCTCAGTGCTTGAGTATTCCTTGTCACGGATTCACAGAATCAATGGATGATGAGTGGGTTCTCTCCACGTCTAAGACTTGTTGCTATGTGTTCACATGGTGAGATGTGAAAGGAAGACTAGCTAATTCTCTCTAATATTTATAAAGTCACCGTTCCTATTCACAATGTCTGTGCTCATGGCTACCTGTTTAAAAGTTTTGTTACTTAATAGTATTGCGCTAGATAGTTAAGTTTCAACCTGAATTTTTGAGAGGGCACATTCCAATTTATATTTTTCCCCTCAAATAAAAGCAGTTAAGGATACAATCAAATGCCTTTCATTACAAGAGCAGTTCAAAAGTCTTAATATATCTACAAATAAGTTTAAAACCTGTTAGGTCAAACAACAGGAAATCCTTGGACTTGTAGATAATTTCCTAGAACTCCAAGTCAAAAGTTATAGACACACAGAGTAAGGGTTAGTTCTTAATGCCTTGGGAAGTTTTACCTACTTGGCTTTTCTGGGCACAGCCTGCACAGGAAACTTCACAGTAGAGAGTTTGCAACCATTAACTCTCCACGGTGTTCATGAATGTTGCTGTTCTGTTGAGTTGTTTGAGGAAGTCTCACCCTCCAGTCTTTAGTGGACATTATCACACTGGTGCTTTGTTGTGTCGATCCTAATCCTAAGGCACTTCTGTGCAGAAGGAAATCCTTTGATAACTTTGATAACTAGATGAAATAGTTCTTTGAGGGGACTATGTACTCTGAACAGCTGTTGGCTTTTTCCAATGATATAACGGCCAAAGTTTATTTTCTATGTCCTCTGGAGGAATCTTGTCAAGCACACATTCTTTTGTTGTGTTTGTACCTGGACCCACACAAAGTGACTCAAGAACTTTGTGCCATAATACAAGAATCTGAGAGCTAAGGCTACTCTAGACATAAATCTAGAAACTCTAGAAATTCTGTGCATTCCTCGGCTTTCTCACTTGAAACAACTATAAAATTCTGGGCCATGTTATTTTCAGCTAGCGGTAGTCATGATGGTTTTAAAGATCTCGTGTGTGACTTCCAGCTTCTTCTTCTATTGTGCAAATGAATAGCATCTGGCTTCCTTTTTCATATTTATCCTCCATCCTTGGTATTTTCTCATGAGAACAATTTTGATTCTTTACAAACAATGGGATGAGCCTCTACCAAATTAGGAAATGCTGCTTCCCTTTATTCTATCTAAAGACAGAATTTCCAACAAATTTTATCTTTAAACCAATTTACTCTTCTATGATTTTAACGTACAATCAGGAGATGCCATGAAACACCCAAAATATTTGAATTATAGATTTGTTCTCCCCATGATTAAACTTTATCACTCTGAAAATTTGGCTTTCCTAAAGTCATGGACTTAATGAAGTCAAGTTTTGCTGCTCTTCTTGCCAATAAAACATTCAGTTCTTACCTTCAGCTCATCAGGATCATCTTCAATATATATTGTTCAACCAGCATTTTACTGACTCCCTCGGCAATCTTCTGCTACAATCGTGTTTTCCATAATCCTGAGAAAATTGTCCTTATCAACATATTCAATATTATACAGTCCCTGTCTTCATGTTTTTAGTTTCCCAGCCTCTTTCAATTTTCCATTCCCAAAGCTGAATCATCATGTATAGGCATTCACTAAGCCAAAAAAATCCATTCTCAGTTTTGATATCTTTTGTTGGTCTGTTTCCATAAAAACACAGGCAAATGAATAATTTATAAGTTACATAAATTTTGTTTCTAAAAGATTCAAATGAGAAGATGTTACACATTAAGTTCCGGCCCAATTAGTGTCTGGTGAGGTCCTTATCTCTATTTCCAAGACAGTGTCTTCTTGCTACATCATCACATGGCAGAATGTAGAATGAGTAGATTGATGTGCTTAGCTTCAGTGCTTTTATAAGTTTGACTACCCTCATGTCTGAGGACACAATCCTCATGATTTTCCATTCCCTAAGTCTCCACATTTTAATACTGATATATGACTTTGAATATCCGTCTTCAAGTTATTGTAGTTGTACACTGAGTTTCATGTTGTAAATTTATTATTACCCCTCAGCATTAAATATATTCATTGCCTATAGTTTTTTATTATTTATTTTATAATTAAGCAATGGTGCTATATCTAATGTGACTTTAGTAATTCTTATTTGTGCAAATCTTATATCATTAAGAGTTTCTGTACTGAATATTTTACATATCAATTGCTATTTGTAGAAGTTTATCTGATACTGTAGGCTGCAATTTGAGAAATACTTGAGTATTAGTTTGGTTTCTGACTTTATGGTAGAATACTGGATTGATTGATTTATAATGAGCAGAACAAAAATTGATTGAATCATAGTTCTATAACCTGGTAAGTCAATCATAAAGGTGTTAAAAATTTCCTGGGCTCTTCTTATTTCATCACAAAATGCTGAGAGCATAACATAAGGTTGTTTGAAAAGAGAAATATTACCTACAACAGGATATACTATCTCCTCAACAGCAAAAATCTTCCCACAATAATAACATCAATCCATTTTATGAGTTGGGACCTCAATTCTTCTTAAAGGTCCACCCCCTCTCAGTATTGTTACAATAGTCAATAAATATCAAACTGTATGATTTGATTATTGTTAATAAACAGTTTTCTGTAGATGCCCACACATACATTAATAAACATTTATTTCTCCAAAATTAAACAATAAAAGGTTTTGCTGTTTTGATTTGCATTAGAGTTAGAATTTTTTGTTTGTTTTGCCTGAAAATACAGTAAATATTTCTTGGGGTTATCTATTGTGGCTTACACTCTCATAGTGTAGTTAAAACATTAATGTCACATTATTCTGGGGGAAAACTGAATATCAATAGACCAATTATAACATGTATTTATGAAATGTACTTTTGTTTTCAAAGAACAACAATGAAAATTAATGTGTCCAATTTGTGAGTGTCAATAATAATACATATCTGCTTTGTAGCATTTGTGGAATTCAGCATCTGGAAAGAATTGGCAAGAAACTCAATCTCTTTGACTCCCTTTATTTCTGCATTGTGACATTTTCTACTGTGGGCTTTGGGGATGTCACTCCTGAAACATGGTCTTCCAAGCTTTTTGTTGTTGCTATGATCTGCGTTGCTCTTGTGGTACTCCCCATACAGGTAAACAGAACCTTGTTAATCTTTGCAGAGCTGCTCAGCGTCATGTAATACTGAAACTTCTCTAGTAATAGAAAAACACCTGATTTGTATTTAATACTAATATTATAAGACATGCTATTAACAGTTCTATGAATTTCTCATATTTTTTTCAGAAATGTCTTCTTAAATTTTATTACGTACTTTTTTTCCCCAAGTCGCAAGTGATTGCTCCCATTTTAAATATAGATTATCTCATAATACCTATTGTGATATAATTTTAAATTTTAGGATGTTAGACTAAGAAATTAAATTTGGGAAATGAAAAAAATAAAGAGACATAAATTTTAGTAGGTAAAAAGTTAATTTTTCACCAGGCAATAGTAGGGCAGGTTGTTAATTCCACCACTCGAGAAGCAGAGGCAGGCATATCTCAGAGTTCCAGGCCAATTACAGTCCAGGATGGTCACAACTATACAAAGAAAACTTGTCTTGAAAAAACAAAAAGTTATTTTCTCATGTTTATAAGCTAACACAAACTCTGGGTATTGTATTTGTACATTATGAAGCATTTTGGGGATTAGATGCTTTGCAGAAATATAAACAATGACCAGTCTCTAATTCTTTGTTCTAATGAGCACTGATTGCCCATAAGTGAACAAATCAAGAACACAATGCGACAAATGAAAAACAAACTTTCATTCTCATTAAACAAACTGGAATGGTTCATCCTGCCATGCCTGACTCCCTGACCTTTATCAACTGTACTCATTACTTCACAGGTAGCATGGGGCACTGTGTATGTCAACACAGCTTTCTCCCCTTTGTGATATGTGAATGATGAGGCAGAAGAATTTGGAGCAAAGTTGGCATAGCTATCCCCTTTCATGCAGTGAATGACATATTACATCATACTTCCCTGAACATGAACTTGGACTAACTCTGATATGATATAATAGTAAAATCTCACTAATATGTTTCACTGGACACCCGAAGCCCATGAGCTTCATTCATAATCTCTGGGGAAATCATGTGTTTAGTTTGTTGTTGAAAGGTATCCTGATCATTCTCAGGAACCTCAACTATTTCCAGAGCAAGAAATGCCATGTACCTGATAAAAAAAAAGGGGGGGGGACGGTCACTGCACTTGACTTTCACTTTTGTGTGGGATGATTTCCATTCACATGTGGGAAATTCATTACAGTTTGAACAATTGGCCTATTTGTGGATGGAGAGACAAAAATCGGGTGGCAACTATAGTCGTCACAGAGCTCAGACAGAGAAACATGTTGTCCTGTGTGTCAGCTCACTGAAGATCGACTTACTGATGGATTTTCTTAATGAATTCTATGCACATCCAAGACTGCAGGTAAATTTAAACTATATTATGTACAATACTGAATCATACTTAATAGTACATTAACGAATAGTGTATCCTGTATTCTTGAAAAGTTTTATTCATATACCCACATCTTAAAAAGGCAAATGAAAGACTATAAATATAATGAAGCACATAGAAAAAGTGCTGGAGGAATAAACAGCCTTGAGGTTTCCTTCTGTATGTGTACTAAGAGACACATGGGACTTGTTATTGCTAGAAAGAAAGATTTTATTTGACTCAAAGGATTATTGTTTTCTCTCTTGGGTAAAGCATAAATGATAGTTCTATAAAGCAGTGAGTTTTAATATGAAATATAAAAAGCAAAGAAGAAACCATCCTGAAAAGTATATTTATAAGAAGTGCTACTGATAGGAACATGAGAGTATGGCAGATCCTTTTTGTAATTTTTTAATTTTTAATGTGTATGTGTGTACTTAAGTGTCTGTGCATATGTGGGTTTCTGTATGCCTGTGGATCTGTGTGCATGGGTGGCTATAGAAGTTAAAATATTGTGTCAGATCCCTGAAGTTGGTGCTTTAGACTATTGTGAACTGTTCAGTGCTGGTGCTGGGAACCAAATCCATGTCCTTTCCCAAGAGCATCCAGATCTTTTCCTTGCCAAGCCATCTCTCCAGTGTCTGAAAGTTCCCTTTTGTGTATTCATTTTCTGGAGTGTGACTAAGTATTAATGAGACAAAGTAGACTTGGGTATAATTTTTTTTTCAGTGCAATTAGTTCATTTCAAAGAAAAAAATAGTTTCTTGTTTCATTTGTCCTGAAAGAATTTTGTGAGTAAAATCCTGGACAATTTTGAATATAAATATAATTCATAAGTGATATCTAAAATACATAGTATTTTTATTTATTACTTTTATTCTATATTATGTTTTTAAACTTTTACATAAATTTAATTTTCTTTATAAATATTATATGTATATGTGTATTAATATACTCTAATCAGCTAATGATCTCACAATAGTTAACTCTAATAACAATATAGAGATTCTAAATACTAAACATTTTGCTACAGATACATTTTAAGTGAGTCTCATATGGAAGGATTTCCAGAGAAGTCAAACTCTTATATGTAAAAGGAGCAGCAGGCCGCTTAATGCTGCCTGGCTCCTTGGCTAGCTTATACCTGAAATAATCACACAAAAACTGTATTCTTTTAAACACTGCCTGGTCCATTATCTCCAACCTCTTGCTGGCTAACTCTCACATCCTGATTAACCCATATCTAGTAATCTGTGTATCACCAAGGGGTTGTGGCTTACCAGGAAGATTCTAACCTACATCTATCTCGGGCCAGAGCTGCATGGCATCTGCCTGACTCTGCTTTCTTTCTCCCAGCATCCTGTTCTGTCTACTCCACCCACCTAAGGGATGGCCTATCAAAAGGCTAAGTCCGTTTCTTTATTAACCAATGAAAGTAACACATAGACAGATGAACCTCTGACATCACTTATAGACTAGTCTTAAGTCATTTTACATTTCAGATGCATTTCCTGGGCCTCTAAATGATGATACACTTTAAAATATTTTCACCTAAAACCAATCTTATTATTTATTGTTTTCAATATAACTACAAGCTCCCAACTAATAAATATACAATATTCATTAGAAATTTTCCAAATTACAAGTTCATAATATAAAATTAGTTAAATGACAATAAGAAATCACAGTCTAAAAGCAGCAATTTGAAGTATAAATGGACTCATAAACATACATTCAGTATGTATTTTACAATCAGTCTGCAGTGGAACCTAAACAAAAGGAGTGAGTGACATATACTACATGATTGCCTTCCTTTGTGCTATTAATAAAACTAAAATAGCTCATGCTGATTGATTGTTTGCATTCCTCACTTTATGTTTATCATAGTGCAATCCTATTTAATTTCTCTGAATTTAGATGTTAACTTTTTATTAGCAGAAATTCATTTTTAATGTGATCATAATTAAAGAACTTCTTTAAGTATTTTGTGTACCTTTGTAGGATAAAATAAAGCATGGTCGTGTTCATGCCATTGCCCACTCTTCTTTGAACAGGATTATTATGTGGTTATATTGTGTCCTACTGAGATGGATGTGCAAGTTCGGAGGGTCCTACAGATTCCAATGTGGTCCCAGCGAGTGATCTACCTTCAAGGCTCAGCCCTTAAAGATCAGGATCTCCTGCGAGCAAAGTAGGCATTGTCACCACATTCTATCTCTCATATTTTAATTTTAGTCCTCTGATGACTTTTCTCTCATAATTTTTGTAAGATACATTTCACACATATTTAAATTTAAAATTGAGCTCAGTTCTTATAGAATACATAATAATACTACCAGAAATATAGGCCTGTTTCCTCCTTTTGTTTAAGTTAGATGTCTGTGATAGCACAGTTATATCATACAATGAGAAGTCACCATGAAAGAATAATGATTGCTGTCAGAGACAGACAAGAGGTGTTGAAACTTCCCATTATTAAACTCTCCAAATTTCATAATTTGGATTTATTTTATAAATAAAATAGTTGGCCTAAGTATTGGGTGAGATATCAAAGCATGAGCCAGTGTTTGAATCTTAAAAAGGTTGCAGCAGGTACTCAGCAACACATTTTATCTTGCTGAGGATAAAGTCTGAAAAGTCCTCAGAGCTGGGGGATGCAGGATCCTGAGAGGGCAATATGAGTTGCCCTCATATTGTCTATATGTCTGTCAACAGGCTTAAAAGGTACCATGGTCTAACCATTTCTTATGGAAAACTGGTCTTCTAACACAGAAGCAGAGTGAGGGAATGGACTGGGAGGCCCTAGTCCACCAGGGAATCAGTAATAACACAAGACAGTTTTCTTAGTTTCAATACCAGGAGAAATCTCTAGCAAGTAGAGCTTTGCTAACCTCTGCTTTTGAAGATTCAAATGTGTCTTCATGTTTCTCCTTGGATGCTTTCATCTACTATTTTAAACTTGTTAGTTTCCTCATCACAATTGATAACCTAAGGCTCTTGCCTTCCAGGACTCACCTAATGTCCTAAGTCATGCTTAGGTACTGAGTAGTTATGAATTCTGAAAATACTTTTGATTTATAATGAGGAAAATAAATTTAGCTGAAGTTTGTTTTATTTAATGACTTAGTTTAAGAAAGAAAAACAGTAAGTAGAAACTTCAATAGTAGAACGAATGGTAAATATTGGGAAACTAAAAAAAAACTTAATAGTATATGTTTTGTCTTAGAGTTTATCTCCATTAAATACTACAGGTGACAGTTCTACAAACAGTCTGATATTATCAAATACTTATGTGAATTGGAGCTTTAACAATTTCTTATTTGATATCTATATATTCATTCGAAGATGTTGCCCCATTTGCATTCTTTCAAGCACTATATTCATTTTTCTGTATAAATCAATCTCCTTAAATTACTATGAGTTAAGTGCTTCACACAACTTGTCCACTGTGCAATGATATGTATGTGTGTGGTAGAAACTTTTTATTCTGGGAATTGAATGCAAGCTCTTTGTTTTAGCTGTAACTATCTCTGATAAATTCTCTGAGTCATTACTAGTATTGAAATGATTTTCCACAAAAGGGGTCACCTTTCCAGAAAACCCTCCATGTGAATTGTAAATGGATAAATTGCAGAAAAGGGATGACAAAAGACTCTTGAGCACCTAGCACTGTTCTAAGAGGTGGGCTGAGAAAGACATCTCTTAGGGAGACAGATTATCTACTGTATGTACATTTCTAATCCTAATGCTATATAAAATATTTGGGACTTAATATTGACAACTAATACATTCTTCAGCATAACTCCCCATGCAAGGAACAAGGAGTAGGAGTCTCCAAACAAGTCCTGACAAGTGAAGTCAGTTGCTTGACTTCACTGCTTTACTAAAAATGACGCTTAAAGAATGTTGTCCAATACCAGTGTTATTTAGCCATCATGCCTCTAAGTTTTCTTCAGAATTGTTTTGTTTGGGTCAGTTTCCTGGACTTTTTATCTTTCTTCTCCAGTGAGAACATATTTTTTAAAAAAATCTAACTTTATCACAGTGTACCAGAAAGATAAATCATTACTAATTTGAAAAGTAATCATTCTCATGTTTTAAAACCACAACTTATGAAGAACTAACACATATATTTTAGTTACTAATTTTGAGAATTGAAAACATTAGCATGAGAAAATAGAGTTTGGAACAAGAGGTTGGACAGTCTCCTGGAAGCATAAACATACTGTGGAGTTTGACTTAAAATCACTATGCACATCTGTTCCCTCTCTCTAACTGAGTAGTTGTAGTTTGGGTAGGTTAGCCATATAATAAAGATCAGCATTCCTTATTTGTGCAAAGTATATTAATAAAAATATAACAGCTAAGTTCAACTTCTTTTTTCTGCAATAAATTCAAGAGCTCTATGATTATGCCATTTGACATGTTCACAAATGTAATCAAGTTCGACCAGATATCCGACTGTCCTTTAAGTGTCAGGACACACATATAGACCTGTGGACCAGGCAATGACACAGCCACTCCAGCAGCATTTCGGTGTGGTTACTCTGTTTCCTGTCTGTGTTTAGGATGGACAATGCGGAGGCCTGTTTCATTCTGAGCAGCCGCTGTGAAGTGGACAGGACATCATCTGTAAGTTGATGGAACCCCCCTCAGTAAACTTGGTTTTTACCATACAAGGTTTTTGCTTAGTATGAGTTGAAACAAAAAAACCATAAAATAGGAAAATCAAACAAACAAACAAATGAAAACAGCAGCAGCAACAAAAGAAAGCAAAAACCAGCATAATGAAACTTTGTAACTTTCACCAAAGTTAAGTAATTATTTGTTAGTTATAATTATTTTAGCTTTAAAAACGTTGTCCATTGTGTCAACAAAACTCTTATTATCTTTTACCTACTTTCTAGTAATCCTCTAGCTAAATATGTCCTACAAGATATAGCTTTGTTTGACCTAAACCTCCCTAATTCCAAATGAAAATAGATACTCAAGTATAATGATATTAATTGGAGAATTTCTTTAGTATATGCACTTTGAAAATTCTTTTCAAGTTACTTAGAGTGGGAACTGGAACGTTCATTGTTTAAAAAGATGCAGAAATTATTTTAGTAACCTGACTTAACAGAATTTTTGTAATGTGTCTTTTAGGTCCAGACGACTCTAAATCAAACTAGCTCAAATAAATTACTGGATTATGATTTAAGTTTTCGAAGAGATAGTTTAACTGCACTTGGTTTTGTATAAACTTGAATTAATAAATGGTAATATGATTGGGTTTATATTTGAACTTCTTGTTCACATGTTTGTAATTTTAAAAAGCATTCTCATCTGTCATTAGAAGATGGTTCCTATGAAGTGATTCTATTGCCACAAATTTCAAATGCTAGAAACCTTACTTTTAGTGGTTCAAGATTTGAATTCACCTAGGGACAAGGTATTGACAAAGTTTAGTGTAGTAATAAAAACACTTTTCGTGAGTCTCTAATATGAGTCTTAAAAACAATGGTGCCCTATACAAGAAGAAAAATTTAAGGAAGGTGCATACATGAAGGATTTCAAATGAACATGAAAGTGAACAGAAGAGCGAAAGACATGCACTTAGCATAGGGTCTCCCCTCGCAGCTCTGGAAGGAGCCAAATTGTCACCACCTTAGGTTCAGGATATAGGATTTGGGTCTGTGAGAAAGTAGATTTCTGTGGATTATCTTAGTTTCTTGGATTTTGTCATTGCTATCATGGAACTAATCATCGGACATCACACAAACACAAGGTCAGAAAATATCTCAAATCGGTTTTTTATATATGTTTTAATAAGTCAGGGCTCGAGCAATGATCCAGTGGTTAACTGCATGCACTGCTCTTACAAAGGACACAGCTTCACCTCCCAGTGACTTTATTAAGTGACTTGCAACTGCATGTAGGTCCAGATGCAGGAGGCCTGGCACTATCCTGTTCTGAGTTCTGTGGTAACTTCCCCACATTTGACCCCCCCCACACACACACAGACACACACAGAGAGACACACAAACTAAAGTAAAACTTTAAAATGTCTTCATTCCTCTCTGTTATCACATAAATTTCTTTATTTTAGTCTAAATCTTCATTACTTTATGTAATTTCAATTTGAGATTCCCTATATAGTTGAACATAAAAGTACTTCAAGCAGATCAGATACAGTAGGAAATTTGAACTTAATTGTATGTGGGTGTTACTATTTCACACATAGCTGTCAATTGTGTTCATATGACTTTTAAATTTGCAAATCCTACCGCCTTTCATTCAGATCTGATACAGTAGTGAATTTGAACATAATTGTGTGCGTATGCGTGTGAGTTATTGTTTTCCATGTATTTATCAGTTTGCTTATATAGCTTTTTAATTTTACAAATCTTATACTCTTTCATTGAGGAGCAGGGACATATATGTACAAATAATGTATAATATTTTCTAGAGTTAACATTACAACATAAATTTAGGAATCTTTAATTGATATATTAATGCATTTCTTTCTTATTGTAGAAAATTGGCAAGAAGTTAATAAAAATACACATAAGGACTAAATGTTAAGTAGATGAGTCAATAGTAGCAGAATCCTGGAAGTTATAAAGCAAGTTGATGGGTGGCAACTGGCTCGTCCTGAGGAAGTTAAAATTTAGGTTTAGAGAGGAAATGCATCAGAAATGGCTGCTGTTGCAAGGGAACATCTAAAGTCTCAGAAAAGAAGGGACCAGGTATTGCTTAAACTAGAAATGTATGTAGGACTTGTTCAAAGTCAAAGAAAGGAGCAAATTCCCTCCACCTTTGCCTTGGCAGATACTTTATGAACCCAGGGAGAAAAGGTATGATATTTGGGTAATTTTCAAGGCCAGAAAGTAAATGTGTGTGACCTAGCTACATTCTACATCTCAGTGGATTGAGCACTAGTTGTTTGATGTATTTTATTGCTTCTTTATATAAAAATATTTGGGGAAGTGGTCTATCATAAAGGAAAATGCTATATATGTTGGTGTGTGGGTGTGTTTGTATATTCTTCTGTGCACAAATAAGCATGCATTCACATGTTCATATGAGTATACAAATATAGAAATCCCTGGTCATGCTATAGTGAAACCAGATTTAATACCACCCTACTACCATTCTTTTCTTAGAATTTTTCTATTTTAAATATTTTTCTCCTATATATATTCAGTCCACAGGTATCACTGGACACTTTAGAGAACTTCCAAGAATAACAATAAAGAAAAAGAGAATGAATGAACACAAAATTTATACCAAAACTAAAAGAGAAATCAGGGGAAGCAGAGGAAACTTACTATAAATGTGGATGCAGAAATCATTTTTACAATATCTATTCGGAAAATATTGATATTCAATAAACACCTTAAGTGGAATGTGAGATCTCCATGTCTATATCATAAATGAATAATATACAACAAAACAAAGCTAATCAACCAACCAAGAAATATTCCAGAATCCTCTAGAAGCCTCTGGAAATCATATATACAGGAAAATTCAGTTAGTAGTCTAGAAGGTAAACTTAATGCTAGACATATGAAGAAAAATAGACTACATAATAAAACTAACTCCAAAATATGAGTAAACCGTGAGAACATAGCATTTTATTCACACAGGATTAAATGGATGAAATAATATCTACATGATATGAAGTAAAGGGAGGGGATCTGAGAAGCTGCTTTCTCTGTGACACACAATTCAATTCAATCAAATTTGGGAGATGACACTGTCCACTGGATGAGACTTGCTTATTGTCGTATAATGGCTGTGAAATAACCACATTTGCACTGGAGGTAGATGAGCATATAGTGAACATCTTTACCATGAGAAATACTAATCAAAGAAACTGAAGGAGAAACAGAAAAAATGCATTTAAAACTAAATATGGAGAAACCAAATATCTCCATGCATTTGTATCGACTGGGTTATTTGATAGGATAAATGCACTTGCATTTATGTAAGTGTTGTGTAAGAAAATGCCAGTAAAAAAGATTAAATTTAAAGTTTATATATCTATATATGTTTATATCCACATATATTTATATGGATATATACATATATGTATATGTATACACATAGGAACAGAAACACACATGTGAATGTGCATACACACACACACACACACACACACACACACACACACACACACACTTCTTCCAGAAGATTGAAATAAAAAATCCAATTCTTTTCAAATTTCTGAAAAAACACCTTTCTTTTCCACATAGAATTCTATAGTCTATGAATTTTTCTTTTCTCAAAAAGAAAAGTCAAGAAGGTAAAAGGGAAGTCATTCATTTTTGAACAGATTAGTTTTCAAACAGAGTACAACTCTTGGGAAGATACTAAAAGTTGTAGTTTCCAAAACTTAAATGAGACCAAAGAAAAGGAGATCTTGAATACCCAAAGCCAGTCTTGAACCAATGGCTATGCGACAGTTTGCATTTGCAGAGTCCCGTCACAGCATATGGAGGGCTGCCCATGGACAACTGTCAGTTGCTTCTCTTTGATGTGAGTGAACATACTGAAAACAGATTTCTGCTTGACAAATGGTGTACACAGAATGTGACCTATTCAAATTTAAAAGCTGAAGGCCTGTCTCCCACAATGCCACAGTTGATTTATATTTAGACCCAGGATGTTAAAATAGGAAATAAAGTTCAATGAAAATCATTAAGATAGTTCCTCTTCTGGTCATGATTTTTGATATTAAGGACCATTACTATAGGGCAGTCTTGTAAGCACCCAGCCAAGGCTTGTGGTCTGATAGTGAAATCCATGCATTTGGCATCTTGTTATGGATGGTGTCCTCATGAACAATAAAAATTTAAAGTCCTCTTTTATATGAGCCACCCAAGTTTGGAGTACTTTTCTCTAACTGCCTAAATAGAGAAGATAAACCTTGCTTTCATGATTTGAAGCAACAAATGAATAAAGTACAATAGTCTCACGAAGAAAAGAGTTATTGCAGATTGAAACAGAACTGTGATGCTCTTCCTGTCTTACAAAGAGCAGTTGCCAGCAGAATGAACACTCAATGGTAATCACATCTCAATTTCTTGTGAACTCTAGTTCAAAGATGTGGAGCAAGGGAGGTGACCATGAGACCAGGTAAAGGAACACAAAGGTATACTTTTCCTGTCATGGGAAGCCAGTAGATAACATTTTCTAAAAAATCAAGAAATAGGAACTAATACTGTCAAAATTAAAAAATAAGGAATCAAGAAAATCATCAGTCTTAGAGCTTTAAAGTTATATATATAAAAAATTGTGTGGTAGCTTGAAAGGAAATGAACTGACCCTAGAGTGTATCTTTGCTGGATACATATGCCCTTGTTGAACAGAGGAAGTGTATTGCTTTGGGAGTGAATTTTGAGGTACCATGTATGTTCAAGCTATACACAGTGTCTCAGACTATTTCCTGTTGCAGGACAAGATGTAGAGCTCTCAGCTACCTCTCCAGTGCAGTGTGCCTGCATGACATCATGTCTCACCACAATGACAATGGGCTAAACCTCTGAACTTTAAACCACTACCTCAATTGAATATTTTCCTTCATAAAACTTTCCACGTCAAGGTGTTTCTTCATAGCAATAAAAGCCCTAACTAAGACAAATGAA